AAGGGGCCTGGGAGGCGTCCTTGACGGTTCTCTGAACTCCGGAGTGGCCGGTATCAGCAACGTCCTCCTCGGTTTCCTTGTCGGCGTCCTCAAGCTCGATACCCATATATTCATCAGGTACCTCGGGTATAGGGTCTTCCTCACTTGGACCCTTGGCCAGGACAGCAGGAACGTTACCCGGAAACGAGGCAATCTTCGCAGGGGAACTTATTTTGGACATGGCACTAGTCAAAGCTCCCCACAGAGGAAGCTGCTCGAGGCTCAACCTTGTCAAGACCTTCACCATGGCTTCGTGCATGGATTTCTTTGGGTCCTTCATCAGGAGCTGCTTGAACCATTTAGCCTTAATTGGCCTATCCCGGTCGAGCCTCTTCAACCCTGCCACACCGACTCGGTGCGCACCACAGTTGGTGGCAACCAAGTTCATCTCCTCGAGGGCTGTGGTCATTCCCCCTGTGGACATCATTTTATACATAAAGGTGGTACACCACTGGTGAAGTTCCTCCTTGGAAATATGCAGGCTGACAAACGACTTCATCTTCTCGTCGAGCTCATCATATTTGGCCTGCACCTCGACAATTTCAGCCTCCTTGGCCTGAACTTGGCGAGCTTTCTCCTCGAGGGTAACCACCTCGAATAACACCTCGTCCCTTTCTGCCCGAGCTGTAGCCAAGTCTTCTCGAAGTTTCCTCAGCTGTACTAAGTAGGCCATCGAGGTCGCATTCATCTGAAACAACATAGCATATCAGGAACACATTGACATCAGCAGCACATTTACAACCTAATCTGAAAAATTACTTACCAGTCTCAGGCTGTCAGCTTCATTCAGCTGGGCAGCGAATTCCTCGAGAATAGGACACTCGATTGACGGCGGGTTGCTGAAGGTGTGAACTGCCACAGACGGGCCTCCCTCGAACAGTTGAGAAGGCAAGACTATGGCCTCCCCCTCGAGAGGGCCCTTCCCTTTCTCTGCCACAGGAGGAACTATGCTTGGCCCTGCTTCCTGCACAGTTTTCTGAACGGACTCGGTGACAAGGAGCACCGTCTCGATGCCCGGCTGTGCGGTTTCCTTCAAGGGCGCCTCCGTCTTGGCCTTCTTGGATTTTGCCCTATCGCCCACCTTCACGATTCTTTTCTTCTTTTTCTTCTGAGGGGCGGCAGTAATAGTAACATCCTCATCTGAATTCACAATGACAAAAGGATCTTCGTCACCAAAAAATTGAGACCCAGCATTGCTTGACGACATGACCTAACAACAAAGAAAAAAAGAAGAAAACGATTAGTACCTTGATCTTCTTCAACAGAGATTTCGAGGGGAATTCTGGTTGCTCCCTCGGCGATGACTGTATCACCTTTCCTTCGCATATGCAGGGGGCACATAGTATTGAACGTCGTTCCACTTAACGACCTTCGAATATTTTAGAATTTTCTCCACATCTGCCTGGAACTCCTCGACACACTCTTCATCCTCTTGGGTCCATTCATCTTTTATGGCCCCGAGACCCTCTATCTCTCGGAGATTCTATGGCAGACAATAACTCGCAAGCACCTTCACAAACACAAAGTCCGGTTTCCATTCTGGAGAACCGCCATACGCCTCGACCATCTTCTTCACGCCAGTTCTAAGGTGCCTTTTTACTATATACCAATCCTGGAAAGAAGTCGAGGCCACAACTACTTGGAAAAAAATACCTCCACAATATCAATCGAGGTACTACTTTTACATGTTGGCACACTCTCGCAAACTCCAGTACAAATGTAATTAAATTTGGGGTAAAACGAGCGAGAGGAGTCTTATAGTGTTGAACAATCTCCTCAAACAGGGGGTAGAGTGAAAATCTAAGCCCTAGATGCATAAATCGATCATACACGGTAATTCTTCCCCTTGGAGGAGAGTTAGCCCTCTCGTTTCCTAATGGAGCTCTCGCCTCTAGGGCTGAGGGAAGTCATACAGTATATCAGGTAAAATCTTGAAAATTCCGGCTGGGAAAAGAATTAGGATGCTCTGGTAAAGAAGAGCAGAATGGGGGCTGGAACACTTTTGCAAAGGAGAGGATTTTGTGTTTTTGCAAAGAAGGAAAGTGATTAAGTGTCCAGGGACGGTAGAGCTTCTCTTTTAAAAGCAAAGTTGATTCTCCCACATTTCCCTAATTATGGACCACGATTTGACAGTTATTGCGGGTTTCAAGGAAGTAATGATGTTGAGGCCGCCGTTTGGGGAACGTGCCCACTAATAACGCACAATTAAAAATTTGAGCGGGATTGGGAAGCGGGTCGTCTTCCCGGGTCACGGCCTGACCCGCCGGTTTCTCTCGATCCTCTGAGGTCGAGGGTCATGCGTTAACATCGAGCTCGTTGAGCATGTGCCTCGACAATTAGCTGAACGAGGGTGGTCTGTCCATTCTCAGGTATGTCCCAGGTAATGCTTATTTTATGCCAAGCGTTGTTTGTTTCTACGTCACTAACACTTGACAGGGGCACTTGACGAATCCAGATCCATCACCGAGACTGTACCGGCCCACCAACCATAGGAAGAGTCCAACCGGAACTCTTAGGGCGGTCTAAATTCCTGAAACCTAGTTGGATTTGGGAATTTACCAGGTAATCTCATACCTATAAATAGGGTAGCTCATACCACAATTCAGGTACGCAATCTATAGCCGAACAAACTACTTTCCTAGACTTTCTGGTAACCCTTTTTTACTGACTTAAGCATCGGAGTGTTTACCCTCGGGAGACCCCGAGGCCTTATTTTGCATGTAACCGTAATCGGAGTTCCACCGCTAAACCGACGGCACATATCCAAGCATCGTCATCTAACATATCGTATAGACTGTTGATCTAAAAGGCCCTTGGTGAAACTAGGAAGAAACCCTGAGTCCTCATATTGTTCGGAACATTCCTCCGAAACTATTTTAGCTAGACTATCCGCGACTGCATTAGCCTCTCTGTATATATGATTATAATATTTGTAAGATTATACATGTTGTAGCCTTGCAAAACAATGTATAAACAAATTCAACAATGATCAGTCGGTAATTTTATTTATTATGTAATGTGGTTTATAAATTATGTTCAAAAGTCCTTTCTAATCGTTTGCGTCTTATTTTGCCTACTATCATTTCAGAATCTCAATCAGCCTTCATTCCTAGTCTTCTCATTACCGATAATATTTTGGTAGCCTATTAAACGCACCACTATATAAAAGCCAAAACTCGTGGAAGTAGAGGATTGATGTCTATTAAATTAGATATGAGTAAAACTTTTGCCAGAGTTGAATGGTGTTTTTTGAAGTCAATATTACTTGCTCTAGGCTTTTGTGATTCTTTTGTCAACTTGATTTCTGAGTGTCTTTTTTCAGTTAGATTTTCTTTTATCCTGAATGGACAACAATTTGGGTCTTTAATTTCTGAACGAGATATTTTTCAGGGAGACCTTCTTTCCCCATATATGTTTATCATCTGTTCGGAGGTGTTTTCTTGTCTACTTCAGGATCTCCAAAGATGTGGCAGAATTCATGGCATAGGAGTCACTCGAAGGGCTCCAAGGATTTCGCACCTTTTCTTTGCTGATGATACTTTACTTTTCGGAGAGACAATTGAAAGCGAGGCTTCACATCTCCAATGGGCTATTAAGCTGTACGAAAGAATCTCTTGTCAGAGGATCAATCTGGATAAGTCTGGCATCTTTTTCAGCCCTAATACTGATGATCAATTAAGGAATTCCATTTGCAGCATTTTTGGTATTCGGCAAGTTGATAATCATGGTAAATATTTGGGATTACTATCCGTGGTGGGCAAATGCAAACAGGAAATCTTTGCGAGTATCAAAGATCGAGTGTGGCAAAAGATTCAGTGTTGGAGCTCCAAAACTTTATCAAGGGGCTGGTAGGGAAATTCTTATAAAGTCGGTCATTCAAGCAATTCCTACGTATGCTAGCATATCCTGTTTTATGCTTACTGATTCCGTGCTAGATGAAATTCAGTCTTTGGCCAGTAATTACTTTTGGGGTGCTACGAATGATAATCGAAAAATTCATTGGACTGCCTGGTCTTCATTGTCACATATCAAAAAAGATGGGGAACTTGGTTTTCGTAATCTTAAAACTTTTAATATGGCCATGCTTCGCAAGCAAGCATGGCGATTGCTGACAAATCCAGGCTCACTATTGGCTCGTGTGCTGAAAGCCAAATATCATCCTCATACGAATTTCTTCTCAGCTGATCTTGGGCAGCGGCCATCTTGGACATGGCGCAGCATTTTGGAAGGACGGAAGGTGCTAGAGCTGGGCTGTTGCAAGCAAATTCGTAGTGGGGATCAGACTTATATGTGGTTGGATCAATGGCTTCCTGTTGAACCAACCTTTCGAGCTACATCCAGCCCATCACAACTTTCGGCCACAGCTAGAGTTTCTGAATTGATGCATCCTGATCGTCGCGAGTGGAATCGAGACCTCATCCATGCTTTGTTCTCTCCGGCTGAATCTGAAGCAATCTTATCCCTGGCTATACCTCATAATCCATTTCCTGATCGTTGGATTTGGCATTTTTCGCGGAATGGACAGCACTCAGTCAAGTCGGCTTACTTTCAGTTCATATACTCGCAGCAGTTCGACTCTTATTCCCATTCTTCGACTCCAGTTCCGGCAGGCGTACAAGATCCTCTCTGGCGAAGGTTATGGAATCTAAAACTGCCTCCCAGGATTCTACTTTTTGCTTGGAGACTATGTCACAACTCTCATCCAACTCCATCAAATCTAGCCAGACCAGTCAAGATTAATTAACATCCGAATTCTCGGTCTATGAAATAACTTCACCAGGCGAGCTTAAACGGATGCAACTTATATAGCTTTACAACTTTGTAGGCCAAGAAAGCCCAATATCATTCATGTCTCCTATCCTAATTATCACAACAAAGAATTTGAGGTTCAAACCTCAATCATATAAAAATATACCCAAAAGCCGAATGGTACAAATAGCCTTTCTTTACACCACCCCAAACCCCCCTCCGCCCCCCAAAAAAAAAAAACACTATTTCTCTCTTTTTCCTCAAACAATGATCATCATTCATTTATCATATGAAATATTGTTAACTGCTGAGCAACATTTTCAACATCAAATCATTCCAAGAATCGATAGGTCCTGGCAAGCACCAATGCAGACAATCATTTTGAACTTGTGCAACGTTAATCTCGTCTTTCTTCTTACCAGCAAATGGCTGGAATTGCCTATACACTCCAGGATGCCCGTCTGGCCTCAACAAGGAGAGAATGGTGGTGTCAAACAGTCTTAATGGAGCTCTACCTGTGGATGATGCTGCCTCAAATTCCTCCAATTCGATTTTTCGCATAACTTCGTCAACAGAACTAATATTTACCTCACCTTCTTTAAAGGGTTTTGTCCGGTTACAATAACCACCACTGTCCCACGCACCATTCTCAAAGTGATCGGGCGTGGTTGTCCTAAAGAATGTGTAAGCCTTATGTTTTGAGGTAGTGATGAACTTAAGTGTAGAGTTGATCACCTTTTTGTACGCGTACTCAAACCCTATTTCCGTGATGTTGTTCTGTCCATTGCAGTTGTGGCAGCCCACAACAGTGTTGTTCTCGTAGTATATTGCGCTTTTCAGGAACCACTTTCCCCCAGCAGTCAATATGTAGTCGAAATTATTGAACTCTCGTGTCCAAACGGTGTCTAACTCGTCTAGATGAAGCTGAGTTAAGCCTGACGTCACCCCATTGTCGTCTTCAAAAATGGACGCTTTGGATAAGAAAGGAGACCAAAGAACTGAGAGCGTGAAATTATGGCTAGGATATGTCCATCTCCTGTTCTTGTACGGCTTGTCGTGGTACACGTCAACGGCTTCTTCCACCTATTAGATAATACCAAATTTGCAACCTGATGTAAATGCTTAGACAATGAAATAAGCCATTTCATAATTGACATGAGATGATGTCTCAAATCAATAACAAAAATATTCATCATTGATTACACAGAATTTTCCTTAATACATCATGTTCTAAATCTGAATTATGTTTTGGCAGATCATAACAAGTGTAGAAAGTTTTCAGCTTGATGTTTTATCAGTGCAGTAACTGTCCTAGGCGCAAGTAGACAAATCAGACAAGAATTGTATTTTTTATTTTTTATTTTTTTATCAAAACTACCAGAATCAAACAGCAAAATGAATCAAACTGTACAGAACTGATTTTCAGAAAGTAATCTACGTCTCAGGCAAGAAGGCCGGAACAAACTTCATCCCTAAACCTTTGTTTTTCTTTTGTTACGAGTGTGGGATCACTTTAAATGTTAACCAGCAAACAGGACAAATCTAGACAGTAAGGATTAAGGAGGTAAAGGCTCAGGATTAAGGAGCAAACTGAACTATATCTTAAAGCTTAAGGCTTTATTGGTGTGGAATTCCATTAATGACATTGACTTGTCTCCAAATTGGAAGCAAACATACCATCTACACAGCTCATATAAAGATTTACAACCAATTGTATCTGAGATTAAGGTATGATGTAAGGACGACTTCCATGGAAAACCCAATCAATCTTTTCCGGTTTATACAATAAGAAGTTAAGAAACTGAAGAAGATGACATTCAAACAGTTATAACTTGATGGGCTCATAATGAAGGCAGGCTCAGGTTTTACCTCAGAAAGACTGCATAGCAATGATTGGCCATGGTTACGCATTATCGAGTCGCCAATAAAGGCTAATGATTTGTTCCTCATGACGTTCAAAAAGATCTTTGCATTAAACCTAGGTAAATCGCAGTGTCTTGGTTTCCACCTCCAATAAATATAATCTGCATCGGGCCGCCCATTCCTCATACAATTTTGGTGAGCTTCAATCGAAAAGCAAGTCCGGTTGGTATAATAAGGACCACTAGCGTCTGGAATCCAATCTCCCACAAATAAATCACATGTTCCTGATGCAAGAAACATCATTCAACTCGCTATTAGTCTCAAACTGAAATCCTCTCGAGAAGCTTCACAAATCTAGCATTGATGGAAAGATTTACAATCACATAGTATACATTATGGGACAAATAAATAGGTACTCTGCTACATTGTGTCTGCTGCTTTCTAGTTATGACAAATGAAGCTCAAATATAGAAAAACAAAGCTTCCAGAGATACACCATGCACTGTCGAATATCTCAAGTCTCCACTAAACACAAAACACTGACCACCTACCCAACTAGAAAGGGAAAGAGGTAATTAAACAACCGAAAACAGAGCAGAAGAAAGATCACGTTTCTATACTAATTATTAGGAAGGAAAAAAAAAAAAAAAAAGAAAATCTGCAATTTGACTGAAACAAATGATTAACTTTCCATATACAGACTCCATTTAATTCCACAGTCATGGATGAGAATTCCCACCCATTTCCTCCTGAAGCAGGAAAAGGAAGAACCCAAGACGAAATGGGAGATTAATTTCTTCTTCCCAAACTCAGTAATCATTATCTAGCTCGAAATCCCACTTGCAACAATGCAAAATTGAACAGTTATTTAACCAGAGAGACTGAATTTGATAAAATTATGATCCATGCATTATCCAGTACTCCAAGGACTTAATAGAATACAAGACACAACAATTAATCATTCAGTTGAAAGTATTACCAGTTTCTTCAAAATCCCCACTCTCCACATCGGCCGACACCGGAGGTGGTGGCGGTGGTGGTGATGGCGGCGGCAATGTTACGTGAGGCCCACCAGCATTATCCTCATCTTCAAATGTAGCTGATGTTGTTGTTGGTGGTGGTGGTGATGGTGATGATGATGATTGAGTGACCTCAACAAAGGAAGGAATTGCTGGAAACTGTACAAAGCTGGTGGAAAACAAGCGGTATGCGATTCCGAATAATACAAAACAAACCGCAAACTTGACAAGCAAAGATGAAAAAGGATTCTTCTTGCTCAGTTGGTGGTTGTAACCCAATTGTTTCATTGTTCTTGCCGTCTAAAATTTCTTTTAGGCGGCGGGTTACAGAAAAAAACCCAACAATGAAAATTTTCAAAGAATCAATCACATATAGCACACAAACAATTGGGAATTTTGAAGGACAGAAATTTGATCAAATCAAGAGGGAAGTTTTTCAGAGAGGAAATTTCTATTAATATGAAAAAGAGAAAGCGAAAGAAAAAAAAAAATAGAGGCTTTTTCGCAACTAACAACAATAGAATTAGAATGAATTTATTTAGTACTCCCAAATGCCCAACACAAATAAGGCAAAAACTAAAGGGAAAATCAAAAGATAAGAATAAGGGATCAAATTTGCAGAGCAGACTGCAGAGGGAGAAGTAATATAGTAATAATGACGGTGGGATTGGGGTAGTTGCCTGTTAGAATTTGTGTATGTGTGTCAGTGTGTGTGTGTGTGTGTTTTGTTGTGACGTGAGAGTTTGCCTCCATGTCTTTTTCTCTTTTATGTCATTTTCTACTCTGTTTGTTACAGAACCCCCAAAAAAAAAAGAAGGAGACGAAGCCATTGTTCATTCATTCGTTTCAATTTCAGTAGCTGTAAAAGCATGTAAAAGGGTTTCCAGTCCCATCAATGTAATAAGAAGGAAGCAAGCTCAAAGTTGGTGATGAGTCTAATCATTGATCTACAGCTTAATTGAACATTCTTTGTTTACTTATAATCATTTTTATTCTTGATTCTTAGCTTCAATTAAACTCCTCCATCATTATTATATCATGGCAGCCTAAATTTTATACTACTTTGTCAATTGATTAAAATTTCCTATACTCTTAATTTTTAAACGGAATGAGTATATATTAGTATATACTTATTTGTACAATTTTTTTTTTTAAAAAATAATAACAATCTTCTTGGTTGTTGATAGATGGAAAAAGACAATAACACATCATGTAATCGAGACAAAGGTGAATGTTTGCTCATGTCACATGGAGTTTTGTTACTGCACTCAAACAAACAGAGTATTCTTCTCATTAAAAAGTACTAACCCAGATTTATATACTATACAAAGTATAATATAAATTCTCATACCAAGTATTCACAAGAAATAGTACTACTATAAAATTTTATTATTCCATCCGTCTCAAAATCTTGTTCAATTTGAACTAAAATTGAAAATCTAAATCGATAACAATTCTATAACAGAGAATATATTATTATTTGAGAATTTCTGTCCCGCAGTGGAATAGGATATGCATGCCCATGCACAATCACGTCTCGTAGTTTATTCTTTGATTAAAAGTTTTAATATGGTCTGATTTAAATAATATGGTGGGTGAGAATCTTATCAGCTTTAAGCAGGTGGGCTGCTCGATCAATTTAAAAGAGTTTATCTCCTTGAAGAATCTTCAAGAAAAGGACAGTATGTTATTGAAAATTTGAACTGGTAATTACCGAATTTTCATTTTTCTTTTTTCCCTTTTTGGAGTAATTTCATTTTGTTTAAACATGTGTCCATTGATGTGCTTGTAGTCTTCTTTTCTCCCATTCTTTTTAATTCACATTCTCGTCCGTCTTGAGAAACACAAATGAAGAATGGATTATGAAGTTGATGTATCATTAATCCGATTGCAATTTCACCAAAAAATCACGCTCTCTTATCTTTCCATCTCTAAATAAGATTTTTATTAATTGAATTAATTTTGTTGAACGGAAGGGGTGGTATTGAACCAGTCAGCAGCAGCAACAGATTCACTTACTGATCAAGCAACAAGATGTCACTATCAACCAGAAGAAGCTCCAGCTGTGCGTGCTCAAGTGGTCCTGTAACAACAACCTTCTCACAGTCTATTTCAACAGTAAGTTGCAGCTGATCCAGCTTGACAGAATCCTTCCAGAAACATCATACCGCCAAGTCATCAATTCTCATAATTCAAAGTCCCTTGATTCTTGATCATTGGATTAGAGTGATTAGTCGTAAATACACAGTGCAGATTAGTTGTCATTAGTTGTGCTTTCTCTGTCTGTATATGATTAAGTCGGTAAGATTTGTAAGTAAAGTGTATATATATAGATCATAACTCAGGTTGTACAGTATGATGAATATACAGAAAAAAGTTTCTCTCAAACACGAAGGATTTGTTCATGTTCTTGTTCTTACTCTTTGAGGAGATATCTGTTGTGCTGTTTTCATTACTGATCATCATTAACGGATTCTTTATGGTATTAGAGCATGTCTAAGATCTGCTCTGCTCTGCCTTCCGCTGAAATCAAATCTGATAAATTCGTTCTGATTAGAAACCCTAAGATCTTGATTTAGAAATCAAGAAGAGGAAAATTTTAAGGATTTCTTGATTATCCAAGAAGATAAAATGGAAAATCGAAGAGACATTGATTCGTTGATTGAAGAACAGTTATACGTTCATGGTTCTGAAAGTCCAGGAACTCAGATTGTTTCAGTATTGTTGACAAGCAAGAACTATCTCATTTGGAGATGTGCAATGATCTCAACATTGGAAGCTAAGATGAAAGTTGGATTTGTGGATGGTAGCTTTCCGATGACGGCTGAAAATTTGCCAATTATTCTGAGATGGAGGAGAGCAAACATCATGGTATGTTCTTGGATCAAAAGTTCCATGGTGCCTGATTTGATGAATCAATTCATGTTCATCCATGTTGCAATGAAACTGTGGAGGAGTCTTGAGTAGCGTTTTGGTAAGACTAATCTGCTACATCTTTTTGAATTGAAACGAGAAATTGCTTTACTTAGGCAAGGGAATTTGACTGTGAGTGATTACTTTGGAAAAATTGAACAAATCTGGAATCAATATGAAGAATTAAGGCCAACTCCTGTAATAGAAGGTGAGGTTGGAGATTTGATTGTGCAACGTGAAAATGGAGATAGAGTTATGGAGTTTATGATGGGGTTGAGTGATGTATATGAGCTAGAAAGAAGTCAAATCTTGTTTATGGATCCGATGCCTTCTGTTGACAAGGTATATCATATGATCACCACTGCTGAAAAACACAGACAGGTCAGTGTTCACATTGCTGCAACCACAGAGAACTCAGCAATGATGATATAAGAAACTGGAAATTCAGCCATGCTGGCACGATCTAATGGTTGGAAGAAAGATTATCATGGAAGGAATCAAGGATCACAGGGGTATCAGGGATATCAGAAAGTGGATAAGAGTCATCTATTGTGTACTCATTGTAACAGGACTGGACATCTTGTTGATGATTGTTTCAAGCTGAAAGGATTTCCGTAATGGTGGCCACTTATTAAGAACAAAAAACCTGGTTTTAATTCATCCAACATGATTGATTATCCACAATCTTCTAGATTGCAGAATAACTCAGGAATGAGTCAAGAAAATCACAATCAGGCATTTTCTGCTGCTGGAAACACAGGATGCATGGTACCATATAATCAAGCAGTAATGAAAGGTGGATCACAAGGTTACAATAATAGAGGTATTAGCATCACTCCTTTGGACTTCAATGCAGAAGGATCAGAATCATATCAATTGGCTTTTAATACAACAGTGCAGATAGAGGTTGACAGGATCAACAAAGGCAAAAATGTGATCAAAATTCAACAGGAGGATCAATGGTGAACATTGCTCATTTTCATGAGTTTTCATGTACTACTACTTTTGCTCTTGGTTCTTGGATAACAGAAGAGATTAGTACATGTGCATGTGTGACAGATTCAGGAGCTACATGACATATGTGTGTAGATATTTCATTAATGCATAATGCACAACCCTTTAATTCTTTTACACCAGTTGGGTTACCTGATGGTAGCATTAAGCATGTTAGTCATTTTGGAGATGTTAGTCTCTCTGAATCCGTCACTTTGACAACCTATTTATACCTTCCTAGCTTTAAATATAATCTTCTGTCAGTGAGAAAGCTAGCCAAAACTTCTCATATGTTCTTCCAATTTTATACTGATTTCTGTTTATTGCAGGACCGTAAAACTGACAAGGTCCTGGCAGCTGGAAGAGTAATTAAGGAACTTTATGTCCTGGATTCTTATTCTTTTACCACAGAAGCCATCACAAGATCACAGGAATTTTATGCATCCTACATGATGAACCTTAAAGTACCTATCAGGAATAATGTTGTTTCTCAAACATGTATTCATGTTTCAGTTGCAGTGCCTTTTGATATTCTTCATTCTAGAATGGGACATCCTTCTTTAGATGTTCTACATCACTTAGATGGCTGTAATATTCGTTTTGATAAGCAATGTAAGAATCATCGTTGTGAAATTTACCCAATTTCTAAGCAGCATAGACTGCCTTGTCCAGTGTCTTCTACTGTCAGTGATAATTGTTTTGATCTAATACAATGGATGTTTGGGAGCCTTTTCATCAAGTAACAAACACTAGTTGCCATTATTTCTTGACCATAGTAGATGATCACAGTAGATGCACTTGACTTATCTCTTTCAGCATAAAATACAAGTACTTGTTTTGATAGAAAATTTTTATAACATGGTACAAACACAATTCTAAACCATTATCAAGATCATCAGGACTGATAATAGAAATGAGTTTTTAAATCAATCCTGTCAATCATTTTTTTGCCAAAAGGGCATTCTCTATCAAAAGAGTTGTCCATATTGCCCTCAGCAAAATGGAATTGTGAACATAGGCACCTTCTTGATGTTGCTAGATCTTTGTTACTTCAATCAAAGTTTCCTAAAAGATTCTGGGAGACTCTACATTGACAGCAACTTATCTGATAAATAGATAGCCTTCCAAGATTCTAAATTGGTTATCTCCCTTTGAAAAGCTTTATCATACTAAGCTTGATCTATCCACACTTAGAAACTTTGGATGTTTATGCTTTGCAGTCAATAATGGGCCGGGTAGGGATAAGTTTGATCCTAGATCATTTAAAAGAATATTTGTGGGATATCCTCCTGGTCAAAAGGGGTACAAAGTGTATTGCCCAACTCTTGATAAAGTCATAGTTTCCAGGGATGTAGTTTTTCATGAAACTACATTTCCTTCCATAGTTGAAATTAAGAATGATGTAACTTTGCCATCTGTCAATATTCCTGATGAAGAAGATTCTGTTTCTCAATCTTTTCTTATTCATTCCTTTAATGAACATTCTGACTCTAAAATGATCATTTTGTGGACCCAAATTCACAAGATAGTTTTATTTCAGCTTCTCCTCCTCCTTTAGGAGAAATGACAGGATCAGAAAACCACCTACTTAACTAGAAGATTTCTATACCTTTCACTGTCATTCTTCATCTTATCTTTTCCACTTTCATATTCTGATAATAATTGCATTTTTAGCTCTGCATACAATACTTTTTTAGCAAATCTATCTATCACACATGAACATGTGCATTATAATCAAGCTAGAACCAATCATAAGTAGAAGCATGAATTTAAAGCTGAGAGCTCTTGAAGCAAATAGAACTTGGGAACTAACTACTCTACCTGAGGGAAAGAAAGCAGTAGGATCTAAGTGGGTCTACAAAATCAAATGTGATCCTGATGGATCAGTGGAAAGGTATAAGGCCAGGCTTGTGGCAAAAGGTTACACTCAGATTGAAGGGGAAGATTTTAATGAAATTTTCTCTCCAGTGGCTAAAGTACTCACTGTTAGATTAATGTTTGCTATTGCAGCAATTAAAGGATGGGGAGTGTATCAACTATATGTAAATAATGCATTTCTGCATGGTAATCTGGAAGAAGAAGTATACATGTATCCTCCTTTGGGGTATGATAAGGCTAGGAAGGGACAGGTTTGCAGACTAAAGAAGTCGCTGTATGGTTTAAAGCAAGCCAGCAGGCAATGGAACAAGGAGTTCACATCCAGATTGCATGGTTATGGTTTTATACAATCATATCATGATCATTGTCTGTTCATCAAGATCACTGGTCAATCTCAACTTTTCCTCCTGGTTTATGTTGATGATGTATTGATTACTGGAACCTCAGAAGTTGAAATTCAACAAGTTAAGAGTTTTTTGGATGATGCCTTTACTATTAAGGACTTGGGTGTAGCAAGATATTTTCTGGGAATGGAGATTGCAAGATCTTCTTCTGGTATATATATCAGTCAAAAGAAATATATTACAGACTTATTACAGGAAATAGGAATGTTGGATTGTACTACCACAGCCACTCCACTTCCTAGTGGTTTCAAGTTTGTTTCTGAGGACAAAGATGATGCACCACTCTATCATAATCCTGAAAAATACAGAAGATTGGTTGGAAAGTTGTTGTATTTGAATTATACTCGTCCTGATCTCACATATTTAGTGCAGCAACTAAGTCAATTTGTACACAAGCCTCATGATTCTCACTGGAATGCAGCAGTTCTTGTCTTAAGGTACCTTTCTAGTTGTATTTCTAGAGACCTGTTTTACTCCAGTAGCACTGCTTCTTATCTTACAGCTTATAGTGATGCTGATTGGGGAGCATGTCGTACCTCTAGACATTTCATAACTGGTTATTGTGTGTTCTTGGGACTAGTTTGATTTCATGGAAAGCCAAGAAACAGTCCACCATTTCATGTTCATCTGCTGAGGCTGAGTATAGAGCCATGGCCTCAACAGTCAGGGAGTTATAATGGCTTACTTATATGCTTCATGACTTTCAGATTCCATTGCAACTGCCAATACCATTCTTCTGTGACGGCAAAGCAGCTCTGGACATTACAGCCAATCCAGTCTTCTATGAAAGAACTAAACATATAGAAATAGACTGTCATGTTGTCAGGGATAAGTACAAAGAAGGCTTTATTCATCCACAACATGTCAGTTCATCACAAGAACTAGCAGATATCTTTACTAAGTCACTTCCAACTGCATCCTTTTCCTACATTCTGTCCAAGTTGAGTATCTGGAATGCTCCACTTGAGGAGGGGCTATTGAACCAGTCAGCAGCAGCAACGGATTCACTTGCTGATCAAGCAACAAGATGTCACTATCAACCAGAAGAAGCTCCAGCTGTACGTGCTCAAGTGGTCTTGCAACAACAACCTTCTCACAATCTGTTTCATCAGCAAGTTGCGGCTGATCCAGCTTGGCAGAATCCTTCCAGAAATATCATACTGCCAAGTCATCAATCCTCACAATTCAAAGTCCCTTGATTCTTGATCATTGGATTCGAGTGATTAGTTGTAACTACACGGTGCAGATTAGTTGTCATTAGTTGTGCTTTCTCTGTCTGTATGTGATTAAGTCGGTTAGAGTTGTAAGTAAAGTGTATATATATAGATCATAACTCAGGTTGTACAGTATGATGAATATACAGAAAAAAGTTTCTCTTAAACACGAAGGATTTGTTCATGTTCTTGTTCTTCCTCTTTGAGGAGATATCTGTTGTTTTCATTACTGATCATCATTTACAGATTCTTTAGGTGGTAAAAATCTTATTGCCATATTGGAATTTCTTGATTGAAAGTTCGAGTGATCAAGGAGAGGAGGATCCATCCTTGTATAATTGTACGCATGCTTTTAGCTCTAGTTGTTACATAAGGAGACTTTAACGTCTTTAATTTTTTGCACATATTCCCCCTTTTCTAGCTTTTGCAGTTTGCTCTTTTTAGCTTTTTTAATGTGATGATGATGATTCAATTGGGCTTGATTGGTGAACTCGTGTATTGAATAGAACGTAATAATTGGTCCAAAAAGGAGTCACCTATAAGTAAACAAGATCATTCTTTTATTTTTATTTTGTCTCACTTTAATTAATAGGTTATTAATAAATGATAGTATACATTACGAGAGTAATGGAAAATAAGTTGAAAGTACGTTGAATAATTTGTGCTTTCTTGTGAGGGCATTTCCTATTTTTAACATTGATTTTTGATCGGTGATATTTTAATATTTTCTATGTCATAAAAAAAAATCCGCCTCATAAATTATACTTGTATAAAAATATAATACAAATTACAATTTCTGGAAATTATTTTTATGTGAAAGGAGAGGGAGGACTAGTTAGTGAATTTTATTTTAGATAATTCTTTTTGTTTTGTCGTGTTCCAAATCCACTCAAGCTACTCGCTTTATTGCCAATCACAGTGCTAAACAGTTTCACAGAGAAATAATTTCATTTGGAAAAAAACAAGAAAATTTATTTATTTATTTATTTATTTTTTTGAAAGGAACAAGAAAAAGTTATTTATGTTGTCTTGGCAGTAGTAACACGAATATAATTAGTTTTTTTTTTCTTTTTTCGAATTAGAAAAAGGGAAATTATTAAGAAGGCATGTAAGGAAGAACTCGAGATCCATAACTACAACCAACCAAAGCCATGATTATAGAACTTGGTCCTGGTGTGTCGGTCGTGTTATTAAACATTTTGCCACTGATTAATACTCCACCTTCACCCAAATGTTGTAGTAATTTATTTTGTCTGAAAATTGGCTATTGAAATGTTTTCAAGTTTTGTGATACATAGATTTATCGAGCTATTATATTATCTATGTTCCAAAATTATTGTGTTCAGTTTGAATTTTCACTTTCAATTTAAATTTGTATTGAAAAAAATTAAAATAAAGAATAATTTCGAAATAGAACGAATACAATTTTATTTTCAAATAGAAAATAATGTCCACGTGATAATAAAAGAAAGATGTATTTTTTCCGTTTTAAAATAAAGTAAATAACTTTGTCCACTAAACTTAAAAATAACTTAATAAATATACTAGTACAATTTTTTAGGGTGGAAGATAAAGACCAAAGATCTCTCGAACATTAATAAAGAAAGAACAATAATGTGCTCTGATTTCATCCAATTAAGAATTTTTTATTATACATTTACTTTTGTCGATCTGTCATGGGCAGGAGATTCACACATCCAATTGCTTTAATTCACTCAACTTTTTAAAGATCCAATCCAATTCCAGACATTCGGCTTAAAATAATGATTTAATTTTTATGTTATTTTTATAATATAATGGGCAAAATAATTGTTTCGCAGCGGAACACTTCATTCAGTCCCAATATTGCTTGTGTTATGCACTATTTCAATTTACAAAAATAGATTTTCTTTTCTTTTTTTGGAGGGATAAAAAAAGGCTGCAAATAATGCGAATAACAAACAAACGAGGGAAATTAATTATACCTACTTTAATTAAAGGTGCATCTTCTTAAAATAATTTCTCCACATCATATAAATAAATCCAACCTTTTTCTGTTGCACCTACGAGAATCTTTTCCATGTAATTGATCTCGCATTCTGTCACAAATAATAAATAAATAAATAAAAAAGCTTAATTATAGGAGAAATTGGCCTATACACTATGACAAGACTTAGGAGGTTAGGTTGTGGCACATAATAATTAATTAATAAAAAAAATCACGGACTTACATATTGAATTGATTAAACTGGCTCAGTAATTGTTCAATTCAAACATGTAGTTGATTGTTTTGGACTTGGGAGTTTTTTCAGCTGCAAAAATTAGATAGATTATTAGTAGAAAATTATGTGAGGTTGAACAATTCACCACAAACTGATCTTAATTCTCAATTTCTCAAAAATAATTGTTGCATTATTATTTAAATTTTTTCTAAATGGAGTTAGAATAAATTTAGGTAAATAACCAATTACGCCACTTTGATCACTAATGTAAGAAGTAGTAGTCTAACATACTAATACTACTATCAAAGGAAACTCAAAACGTGATTGGTCAAAAAAATGTGGCCAACAAAACCATACCCCTCGTTGACCACCCACCTAAAAGGCTAAAACACACACACTCACACAGTAGATATTCCTGGTTATATACATTAGATTAGAAACCCCCATTCTCCCCTTCTCCTTTCTCCACTGATTTTTTTGATTCATCAGTCGCTCAATCGGAAAACTGATCGATATGGGTGCAATCAAGGCAGCAGTGGCGGATGGGGTGTTGACTTTCATGTGGGTCTTCAGTATTTCATCTCTGGGGACCCTCAATTCCCTCCTCACCGCCGCTCTCCCCGTCCCCCACCACCATCACTGGTGGTCCTCCCTCCTCACCACCACCTGTCTCGTCTGCGTCTTCTTGTTCGTTTTTGGGATCATCGGTCACGCCTTAGGCGGCGCCACCTTCAACCCCACCGCCACCGCTGCCTTCCACGCCGTCGGCCTCGGCGGATCCAACTCTCTTTACTCCACGGCCCTCCGTTTCCCGGCCCAGGCTGTCGGGGCGGTCGGCGGCGCTCTGGCGATCCAGGAGTTTATGCCGGCCCAATACAAGCATATGCTTGGTGGGCCGTCTTTGAAAGTGGATTTGCACACCGGAGCCATTGCAGAAGGGGTTTTGACGTTTGTGATTACGTTTCTGGTTTTGGGGATTGTTCTGAAGGGACCAAAGAGTCCAATTGTGAAGAACTTCTTGATCGCTGTTTGCACGGTGGCGCTTGTGATTGCGGGCTCCGGGTACACCGGCCCCTCTATGAATCCGGCTAATGCTTTTGGTTGGGCGTATGTGAACAAGAGGCATGATACTTGGGAGCAGTTTTATGTGTACTGGATTTGTCCATTTGTTGGAGCAATTTTGGCTGCTTGGACTTTCAGATGGGTTTTCCCAGCAGCTTCAGGAGGAGGACCAAAGAAGACTTCAGCTAAGAAAAAGAAAGCTTAAAGAAAAGCCTAGAAATATTTTCAGTTAGCTGATACGGATTAGAACTTGATTGGAAATTGTAATGCATCTTAATTTGCTGTTATCATAATTCCAAAGTTTGATTACCTCCACTTCTGCTTTCATTTCATCATTATAAAATTGTCAATGAGAAGAAACTTTCCCGATTGTGTTCTTTTGCAAAATCTAAATACCTTGTTCTAACCAGAATCATCCAGGATGTATGTACACAAAGGCCACTGTTTCTTATATATACAAGCAAGTTTTCAACTACAAAACTGTGACAAAGTATGGCTTTTTCAAGTACCAGTATCAAAACTGCAGAACATGGTATTACAATTTGAACACTTTGAAAATGTACATTTCTCACAACCAGGAAATAATAATGGACATTCGATCACTACTTTCAGCAAGCAAGCGAAACACTCTACAACGAATTCTGTATTTCAGGAAACATTTACTTTGGAATATCTGGCTTCAGCGGAATGAAATGGCTGTTGTCTATTTGACTCGCAAAGGTAGCTGTACAAAATTTCTGTTATGGTGTACTAGCAAAACTGGCTAGTTATGCTAGCACCACTTTTACGATCTTTCATGCCAAATCCGCGCTTTAACCTCTCAATCCTAACATAAGATAGCCAACAGTTAGAGAATGAGAGCAAACTGCATTTCTAGGTTGAAATTTTATGCAGACGATTTTTTTACTTTTGCTGAAAGATGGTTTGGCAAAACTGTAAGTAACATGAACCTGATAATTGTTCTTTTATCACCACTTTCCTAAGATCTGATAACATTCATTTAAGAAGCTTCAGAATTTCAAGACACAAGAAACAATTGTAGAAACTTTTGACAAGAGAGAAATGCTTACGTAGGAGCAAGTTTGCCGAGGCTTTCCAGTTCTTCCCCAGTATCTGCATCTAAGACTCTGCCTGAAATCTCAAGGATGAAAGATCTTTTCCCATCTGTTGGAAGCCCTCGACTTGCCAACAATTTTAAATCTTTTGGGTGAAGTTCCCTGCCATTCACAACCACACCTGTTGTTCCCCCAGCGCAATTCTCTGGCATCGGGTAGTTGAATTCTTCAATGAATGGCTGCAATAGAAAAAACAGTGCTTCTATGAGATTGGACTAAAAAAGTCCATTGCAAACGCTTAAGTATTTGGGTCTATGAAAGTTCTCAGAAATCTTACAGGAATTATGCCAAGGCATGGGCCGCCCATCACACCCCAGAATCCAGCTCGGAAATCATACCTAGCCAAGAGAAAGTAAGCAAACAAAAGCATCAGCATTTACAGAAAGTGCATTATTTATAGAAGCAATTTCTTGCGTTGGCGATAAAATCTACCAAATTGTTGCAGTTCCCTTTAAGGCAAACTAACTTAACAAAAACTAACTTAACTAGAAAGAGTGATTACTTACCAGTAATGTCCAGGATGAATAGGCCCAGCTAATATTGAAGCTTTTTTAATCAGCCTATCTGGTATAAGATTCCCGTTAACTGTAACATTAGCCTGCTCCTCTTGGACACTGTCATCGGTCATGGATTTATTAGAGTTCCTAAAGCTCCTTTTTATCATGCTAGCAAAAAAGGAGTCAGCTGTTTTATGGGCTTTCATCTGAACTTTTCCTTCATGCCTAGCTTCGCCCGAATCTAAGGATGTTCCAGTAGTATTGGCATACTCATTGGACGATATCTCTATCTCTGTTGCGGAGCCATCATTTGTGGTACTTTGCCTAAAGGAAGCCTTCACTGGTGGTGTCATTTTATTTCTTTCAGATAGTCCACTTCTGTTTCCATTTCCATGGTGCTTAGGTCTATGGTATTTATTAGAGTACTCAAATAATTCTTGAAGTGATGAACCAGCAGGAGGTGGAAGTTCAATTCCTTTTACCAGCAACTCGGGAGCATTATAGTTTGACTTGTTCCCCATGTCAGGCAGAGACTCATCATCAAGCCTTAGCTCTTTATCCGAAGAAGAGGATAATGTAGAATGAGGACTCTTTCCTGCACCATTTGGTGTTGATCCAAGTTCCCTATCCATAGATTCATAATTGCAATCAGAATTATCAAAATCATCCGAAGCAAACTTCTCATGAGCCTTGTTTTGGTTGCCACTCCATTGATTTAAATCTTCACCGCTACTCAGATTGACATCATTAGTTCTATTCACTACTGAACTAATGACAACATTCAGATTCTTGGAGTCCACTGTCACTTCAATTAATATAGAGCATGCGCCACATCTCATTTTCTTCGGATTGACATCAAGAACCACTTTCTTAGGCAGCCAAAGCAACTCATGACAACTTTGACAGGCTAAAAATGGAGCACCACCAGCTACAGGATGGCATTTACGTGAGCCAGAACTGACTAAGATTCTTGCAGGACGGTTTTGTTTGTGAACAAACACACTGCTAGCTTCAGATTTTAGATCACTGGGCCATCTTTGATGGGATGGAGGATTACTAGATTTGAAGGAAGTAAAACCATCATGATATGTTTCTCTATGATCTCGTGAACCAACAGTACTTTCATATTCATGATGATAAAATGCTGGATCCTTTGCGACATTAGAGACTTGCCTAGCACCATATGCATTAGGTGGTACTCGAACTTGAGCTCGACCTTGAATTTGATATTGTTCATAGCAATGGAAGCAAGAACACGATGGGTGGTGATAACTGACGTTAGGCCTATGTGAATAATAATGATCCATAGGAACCACATTCCCAAATTCTTGGACATGACCAGGTAAGCGAAGAGGAGGATAAAAGCCATGCCTATTCCCCAAAGGGGTTGTCTCAATATACTGATTTACATAAGGCAATGGGTGCCTACCCATATATGAATAGCCATCCGTTAAGAATTCCTCAGCATAACCATAAGGATCAGGTGAAACATTTCTCCTTTCAAGAGGGAACTTGTTCTTGGACCTGTCAACCACATCACCAGATCGAAGAACCTGGAGTTTCAGTTCCTCCAACTTCCTCAAAATTGTAGCTCGATCTTCTCCAGGGAGTCCAACAATACCATCACGACCATGCAAACCATCAATTTTATTCAGAGGCTCTCTATAACCATTATAACTTCCTTGCAGCTGAGTATTCAAAGGCATCCCCTCTTCTGAATACTTTGAAGTTGAGTAACTTGTACTAACTACATCATTCCTGGGAGGCCTCGAAAATCCATCCATCTCATTTGTCCTTCCAAACCTCCTATCCCATTGTTTACCTGACCCTTGCAAGTCATTCACAAATCGTGTCCGGAATTTCATCTCCTCAAAACTCTGATTTCTGCTATGGCTATTAGCAATCACATCATCATCATCATAAAAGACTGCTCTGTGAGGTTCATTTGTATCGCGTGAGAATCTCCTTCTCTCGGTTCTGTAAGAAGAACTACTAACATTGGATATGGTATCATCCTCAGGAATAGGAACGTTGCTACTCATTCCAGAAACAAGAAGGTTTTCCGAATTCTGAAGTAGTCTTTCTGGAAACCTTGGTAATCTTTCTTCAACAGAATTATTAAGTGAGGGATCCACGCCACCATTCTCTTTATCAGCTGTCAATTCACATCAACACACAAAAAAGTTGGCTAACATTAATCAGTTTTCTTCCATCATTTCAACATATACATTGAGAAACGTTGATCTCAATGCATCTTTCACTACAGAATGGTTCCCAACATATAACAAACTACTCACATGCCAGACAGTGGTAAATAATGGTAAATCCATAAAAAGAGCAAACTCAACAACATTATTCTCGACCTTCCAATTCAATGCAGTGTTCTAGGAGGGAAAAACAACAAAGAAAAGCAGGAAGATGCAAGGATCAAGACATGCTTTTAGCCAGAATAGAAGCACATAAACCTATAAATGATAACAAGGGCAACCATTTAAGCAACAATCCCATCGATATTCTTCATTTGTAATTGTAATGGCAAAAAGAAGTGAAAACGAATCCTTCTCAGAAATTAAAATGAATACCTTTGAGGGCAGTACCACAAGCACCACACTGATAAGCAGAGTAATCAGATATCTCCGGAAGCAAGTTTCCGCAGTTGGGACATTGAACTAAGCGCACAACGTTTGCAATTGCTTCAGCCATAAAAATGCTTCTTTTGTTCTAACCTTTGACCAAATCCCCAACATCACACCCCATTAAACTGAGAGAGAATGAAGGGATTTCATCCAAATGTTCAAAGCAAAAAGGAAAAGGAAAAAAAGACAAGAAATCGACAAGCAAATTCCGGGATTTCAGTGCATTCTTCTTCTTCTTCTTCTTTGGTTTCACATTTGTGTTTTACTTTCTGTGTCCGTGGACTTCTTGAGTTGTTGACAATAGAATTTTGAGGTGGAGAATTTTGGACAGAGTTTAAAAAATGAGTGTTTGGTTTGTTTGTTGTTGTCTATTTGTCAAAAGTGACAATCTTTGTTTGACATTTTCTCAGTACAGCTTGATGGTACTTATTAATGTCCAAATGGGAGGAAGTTGGACGTGGTTACTGCAGCTGGTTACTTGCAGGAGGGAAGAAATGAGTTTTTCAAAGGCACCAAGTACAGGAAAGCCATTGGAGAAATGTCACATCACTCTGATTTTCATAGAGGGTAAAATTCTGAATAATTATCTTCCTACACTACGATTTTTCATATTTTTCACAATTAAACCACAATCACTAATGTCATGCCATTTACACATCACCCATGATAACAACATTCCAAGTTAATATTATTTATTCAATACGTTTTAAAATGATTCTTCGATTTAAATTTTTAATTTAAATATTTAATTTTTATTGAAACAATAATCATTACGACTCTCCTTTAGTTGATATAACCGGGCTTGATTGAATCCTCTTCCCTTTTATGGTTAGAAAGAGCGTTTGAGGCGGATTGTATTAGTGCTTTGTAAATCTTACATTTTAGCTCTGTTTTTTATTAATGAATATCGCTTTTGATTAAAAAAAAAAAAACCCTCTGCTATTAGTAATGGATCCGATCATTGTTCCTTACTAACTTCTAAGCGGAAATCTACGAGTAACAACTAAAGAACCGATGATAAATTGGTGATCTATGCACAAGAATGGAAATCAAAGGGGAAATAAAAGATTCACAATTAATTTTTTTTTTGGGGGATATTCCGATATTGTACATGATTATGGCAGTATACACGTTTCTGACTTTGCTAGAGTTGACTTGTGACTTCTTCATTTTCTGTTTTTTTTTATTTAATCCACAGTTATTATTTATTAAGACTTGGATTTAATGCGTCAACGTGATAAAAACATTAAATTATATCCTTATCTTATCATCTCAATTGTTAATGTGATGATCAAAGATGGTAGTATCATTTCCTGAGTCCGACTTCTCATAGGTTAAAGTTAACAAAAAATGTAAATGAATTATTTAATTCTTTAAAAAGAAGAATTCTGGTTGGGCCTATGTATTAACTTGCTGACTGGACCCGACGAAAGTACAACAACATTGGCTCCAGCCCACCCAATAGACTGTACATAACAAAATTCAAACACAATAGAGGGGGAAGTTACCTAAACCGCCACAAACTGTTAGTGGAATTTCGACCGATCCTTATACGGTAGACCATGATCCTTCTTGCAATATATACCATGGTCTCAGTTTGTTTTCACGCGTCACAGAAAAATAGTAATGGAGAAAAATTAAAAAATTAGTTTTAAGTAAGAAAAACAGGAATCTTTTTGTTTTAGTTGCAGAGTTTACAATTGACTATCCCAAGCCAGTGTAAAAAAGAAGAGTTACATTAGGTTGCCAGCGAGTGTAAAACTTTGTCACTCTCATGAATATGGATCATATAAGCAATCGTGTAAATGTTAGAATACCAACCGAAAGTGGCACACTACAGAGTCCGACTGCGTCGTCTTGGCAAGGATCGCTACATCTTCATGGGGACTTGGATGTAGTGAAAAATGTGCAAGAGGCTCCGGACGCCAAGATTGAATTGCAAGTCCATTCTTCCACATCTTGACAAAGATCACTACAATCCCATGAGGACGTGAGAGTAGTGGGAACTAGGAGAAAGACTCAACATAGAAATGATAGGACTTGTAGGATAGGGAGTTGGAATATAGGGACCCTAACAAGTAACTCCTTAGAAATAATAGAAATTATGAGAAGAAGACGGGTAAATATAATGTATTTGCAAGAAACAAAATGGATAGAGGAAAATGCCAAAGTTCTAGATAGCACGGGGTACAAACTTTGGTATAACAGGAAAGATAGAAATAGAAATGGTGTAGGAATCATAGTCGATTCATTATTTATAGATCAGGTAGTAGGGGTTGTTAGAAAACGAGATAGAATCGTAACCTTAAAAATTATAATTGGAAATCAACCTATCAACATAATTAGTGTACATGTGTCTCAAGTAGGAATAAATGAATCTACTAAAACTAAATTCTGGGAGGATTTGGAGTCTTTGATCCAATAAATCTCTCAAAATAAAAAATTTTTATAGGCGGGGATTTAAATGGGCATGTAGGGAAGGGCTACAGGGATTATGAGAGGGTGCATGTGGGCTATGGCTATGGGGTACAAAATAATGAGGGTAAAACTATTTTAGATCTTTCAGTGGCATATGATTTTGTCATATGTAACACCTTCTTAAAACAAAAGAGATGAACACTTAATCACATTTAAAGTGGTTCTAATAAAATACAAATTAATTTTTTACTAACAAAAAAAAATGATAAAAATCTTTGTAAATATTGTAAGGTAATACTGAGTGAATGCATCACTATACAACGTAGCTTATTAGTCCTGGATCTAAGAATTAAAACTAATGTATGTAAAAAAAAAATACTAAAGATACTTAAGATAAAATGATGGAATCTTAATAACAAAGATAAAAATAATAGGTTTACTAAAACTTTACTACAAAATGTCAATTGGAACAAGAAAAAAAGGACAATAAAACATGAAAAAAAGTAGCTAAAGACATAAGAAAAATTGCTAAAAAGGAACTAGGGGTGTCAAAAGGTAATAATGTAATAAAGAATTGTGGTGGTGGAAAAAAATAAAAGAGAAAAAGGCTTGTTAAAAAGCCTTTTACACTTATAAGAGTGATGAGAACTTGAAAAAAATATAAAAAAGGCTAAAAGAGAAATGAAAAAAAGTAGTAAGTGGGGGCAAGATAAAAGTTTTTGAAAATTATATAAAAAATTGGATACGAAGGAGGGAAAAAAAGATATTTATAAAATTGCAAAACTAAGGAAAAAGAAGACAAGAGACTCAACCGAAATTAAATGCATAAAAGATGAAAATGAACATGTTTTAGTTGATGATAAGATAAGAAAAGATAGATGGAAAGAGTATTTTTCATAAGTTATTTAATGAAGTAGATAATAGGGAAATAACATTCTGGGAACTAGAGCAAAGTGAGAATCATAAATCCCCATACATTTATGCTCAATCGCCTCCTCCAGAGCTTCTTCTCCTCACTCCCCTTCAATCCAACCAATCAATCCAACCAAAATCAACATGACGTCCTCTAAACCCACAGTGATTTCTGAACTTACCATTTACCCATCTGAGGCTTCCACCATGGAAGATCTCAAATTGTTGGTTTCAACCTTCCCATTCTTTCATGCTATTATATGCAAAGGGCTGTCTCTTTACCCACCCTCCAATTCCCATCTCTGACCTCATCACCGCCCTTAAGCGCTGGCTCTCTAATACACTCACTCACTTCCGCCGCTCGCCGGCCGTCTGGTGACTGATTCTGACGGTTACATTTACGTCACCCGCAACAACGCGGGTGTCAACTTCATCCATGCAAACATTTCTTACATCCGCATTCGTGACCTATTGGGTGGAACAAATATTCTTGCGTAGTACAAGAAATTTTTCCGTTTTGATGGAGTCGTGAGTTTTGAGGCCCACTTCAGGCCTATTTTGGCCGTCCAAGTAATGGTGGAGCGAGAAATATTTTTCAGTGGCGGCATGGGAATAACATATATCAATCAATTCTTTTTTGTTTAATTTAATTTAGATGTGTACGTATACACGTGATTTTCATATGTTTTACACGTAATTTGCATGTTGCACATGAATTGCACATGAACAATGTAAATTATTTACATTCTGGTATAAGTTAAGATTACATATTATGATCAAATGGATAAATATATTTGTAATATAAAATACAAAACACACTGTTCAGAATCATATTGTGCAATATTCATGAAAATTGTACACAATGTTCATAATCACATTCGTGACTTGTGAACCTTGTTTACGATATAAATTGCCAGAAAATAATGTTTGGTGTTCGTCAAATTTCTTGTCAGATTTGCTATTACAGGCAAAAAGTTCAAAACTTACAATTTCAGTAGAAAACATTTAAGACATTACATGCCTCTTTTATTGTAATGGGCTTGAAGTATTATAAGAAAGGCCGAGTTAAGCCCAACTTTACAGTGGAAGTGTAATAATTGGAGTCTGATCAACAATCGTAGTTTTGGGGGCCGGAGAGATGGTTGGGAAGTAGAAACCGGAGAATTTAGACGAAGGTTGAGAAAAAAGATAGGGTTACGAGATTGGGAAAGACGAAGGGGAGATAAATTGGAATTTCTAATTTGATGCTAAAATTTCTATAATGAGTTTATAGACACATCCAAGTATTTATAATCTACCTATTTTCTAAAACGATATTTTAGTGCCTATAGTTTCTATTTCCTACCATTTAGTGCACAGGTATGACATGTAACAAGTAAAGCCCTGATCAACAATTATAGTTTCAGCTTTTGCTATTTATTTTTTTTTGTTTTTTCCGATCTATTTTTTGTTTCTTGTTTGGCTGCCTAATCTTTTGAACTTGAATAATTATAATTTAAAATACGTAGTAAATAATTCTATACCATTTCCAGTACAAGGAAAACTAATATTTTTCCCTTACATTTCATTATTCATTTCTAATTGTTATTTTATGAAATTTAGGACTCCACCCTTCTCATTAAACCTCACATCATAATAATCAAACTAGATTTCCTCTCGTGCATTACAATTTTGATTTGGAGAGAATCATATATTATATATTAATAGAGAAGAGATTAGGGATAAATGTCGCGACCGTGTTAAGTGATTTTTAGAAAAAGGAACTCAATCAGATGTAGTAAATAGTGTGTAATTGTTGTCTTTTACACATCTCAATTCGCTAAAACCGATTTATGTTAAGATATCCTTAATATCCGTTTTTTAAATAAATAAACGATAATTTGTTAACCAAATTTGTTGGAGATGTTAAATATAAAATTTTTCAACTGAATTAATATCTCAAGTATATGCTAATAAAGTAGGAGTCTTTATGCATAATAAATTAGGAGTCTTTTGAAATGAACAAATCAAAATCTGACCTAATCAAATAAAGTTCAATTAGGTGTAGTCAAGTTTTTATATAATTAATCAATCTCGCTAATATTTTCAATTTTTGAAGTTTAATTGACTAAACTGAAGATATAATCTTTTACATTGTTAACTATAATCTTATCTTTCTATTTTTTTGAGATATAGATAAGTGATAAAACAAAAAATTAATGTGATTTGCTCACAGAATCGTTATCGATAATATTTTTCTGGTTATAAGTTGTCTGATCATAAGGCATGTTTTAGGATTTAAAAATTTATTCACCATCTACAGTAAAACCTCTATAAATTAATAGGCTTGGCCCCCCAAAAATTTATTAATATATAGAGTTATTAATTTATCGATAAATTAATAATTTATTAATTTAAAGAGTTTTTTAAATACTATTTATAAAAATATCTACTACTTTTACCTCAAAAACAAGTTAGTTGCGACCCAATTCACATTATTACAATGTTTTTAATTGAGCAACAAGATGACAATTGCAAACATAAAAAAAAAATCCTTAGGTTAAAATCTAATTTAATTTTCAAATCTGATTTTTAATTTTGGTATTTATTAATTTATCAAATTATGGGGATCTATAATTACATAGAATATTCTTGAAAATTTATTATCTTAAATATTAATCGAATTTTTTATTTTTTTGTACTAGTCTCAAGTTAGGAACTAAAAAAATTATTATTTAATAGAGGCTATTAATCAATAGTATTATTTTATGGAGGTTTTAGTGTATATGAACGTCCGCCTAAATTGGTGAAACTCTATATTGCTCTACATATTGTCTCTCTTTCCGTAACTCGCTCTCTTCTTTATTTAATTTTCAGTTTTAATTTTTTTCTTTTTGGCCATCTCTCAACTTCATGATTTTTATTTTTATATTATATATAATCGTAGTCAAAGTTAATATGATAGCTCTTACTCTTAAAACTTGTGTCATAATGCTAGAAATTTTTGTTTTCTCGTAAGTAGGCGCAACATCAAATTTGGGATTTCTTTCTTTTTTTCTTCTTTTTTTATCTTTATTTTATTTTATTTTTTTGTTTCTTTAACACAGATTGTCTATCGTATCTAATGCAGGTAGAGTTTCTGGAAATTGAAAACTATCAACCTTTTGGAGCTAATGAAAGGTATCTTTGATTTGCTTCAATCTTTGATTATCTTTTTTATTAAAAAAGAATTCTTTAATTTTTGTAGGTTACGGGCTTAAAATAATCCCAAAGAATCTAACAAAAACTATTAAGATGAATGTAAGTTCCTCAAAATTTTCTCTAATTATTGGATTTTTTTTTAATTTTTGTTTTGTTATCATCTTGCTTTGCATTGTTTTTAATGATCATCAGGCAACATTCTAGGTGAGGTTTGATTACATAATTGACGGATTTTAGAAAAACAGAAGATAAGTTGGTCGTACAGTTGTTGCTTTGATTTCTATTCGGCTGCATTTGGTTTATGTTTTTGGCCGACAAAAGAGCAGTGTCATTAGTTAGTTTGTTTTGGACGAGATTAACTAAATAAAGAGTAGTTTCTTTGGTGCTGGATTGTGGTATATTTGACGAGGTACATGATGATGTAAAACTGATAGCTTTGACTGTCATCTATTTGAATTTGTGAAGTTTTTGGGAAGATGATATAGTTTACACTCTTTTTTTTTAGATAAATCTAGACGGTACTTGACAGGTATCTCTCGATTTTATTAATATGAAAAAATTATAAATACATAAGGCAATGCTTAATGATATAGTTTATACTTGATAAAGGAACATATATATGAAACACTTCGTATTTATTTCATTGTAATAATTCTTTATATTTTGTTGCATTCAGGGGTTGATTGCTTTCTTCGGATAGGTGGCAATGACAAAATTAGATAGAAATATATATACATCCCCCAATGTTCCATGCCAAGCGAAAAAACTTTTGTACGGAAATGTCGGCAAAGTCATCAGCACAAATTTATCTTATCCTGGATAAGCTCTATATGAAAATCAGTAATTCTTGCCATGCTCTTAATCTTTTTTCATTGTGTATCGTTGCTGGATTTGCTAAATGTTGATTGTTTGGGTATTTTTCTTGAAGGGAAGTAGAGATTGGTCTAATGGAGTACAAGCCATACATCCTCATTAGTGTTCATTCTATTATGCAACGTATTCTTTCTTGGGTTCTTGAAGAAAAGTAGAGGCTGGTCTAATAGATACATGCAATTTCTATTTTTTAGGGGAAATATAAAGTTTGTCGAAGGTTTTGACCAAATGACGCGGGGAAGCTTTTTTATTTAGTTTTTGGTTTTTTCAAATTATTTTATTAACAACTGTCTCATCACATCATTACTTTTTCATTTCCAATACACTATAAAATACATACACTAAAAAAAAAATCCAAACATAATATTTTTTGACAATCTTTATTTCACACTAATAATGGCAGAAAAAATTTCACAATTCGCACAATGTGCGAGGCACCCATTAGTATCATATGAAATTGCAACACAACGTCATTATTTCTCTTTCGGACAGTTATTTTAATAGTATGATATATAGATAATTTATGTATGGTTTATTGTAGTTCGTCTAAATTATGTTATCTGTTATTGTCTCTGTGTCAATTCAATACGCTATTATATTTACAATATAAATGTCGCAAAGTGATTTATTAAAATGATTATATGACTAGTGTATCTCGTTGATGGCAAGCGTGCCGACGTGTATAGTGTATTAGTTAGAAGATTGTTAGTCAGTTAATTGTATGATAGAGAGGGAGGATTGTGACGATGTAACGACATTTAAATAAATTCTCTGATCTCGTGCTTGTGACTGTGACCTCATTCAAGTTAATGGTGATGATATTCTTCACAAATTAAACTTCCAATTTAATTAATTATATGAATGTGTCTGTTATGGCATAAAAAAGAATGAGTTGTTTAACCATTATTTTACTGTTGCTTCAACTGGGATATAAAACCCCGCCCATGGTTTCACCGAGGGAAGGGGACAAATGACACAGGCTAACGAACAAGAACAGTTTCAAACTGGCTAATGACATTAGTCCTTTGGCATTTTTTAAATAAAATTTAAGTTAACAATCATATATGAAGTTGTCTATTACGTATCTTGTAATTTTTTTTTCTTTTCTTTTTTGTAGAAATTACGTATTTTGTGTCTGAAACAACTAAAATCAGCGAGTTCGGTGTGTATTCTTCTCCTCTATAAATCAATATAAGAATTAAAATAGAATTTTTAGGCTATATTCTCTGACTTGAGCCAATGTTTTCATAGCATAATACAAGTTATTGAAAGGTTAAGAGAAAAATTTATAGACAATGATTTTGTTCCATTCCCGTCAAAATGATTATGTTCCGTCATTACGAGTTGACCATATATCTGCTTAGGTTTGGAAACATTTCGGAATTTAGAACCAATTGCTCATCTCGTTACAATAAATAATGAGTATAATTATTTGAGACAGAGAGAAGAAAAAAAAAAAGCCTTTCGAATATATGTAATCAATTGCAATTTGATCTTCTTCTTCTTTTTCCCACCTCATTTTTGTCTCATTATAAAGGATCTCGATGATGTCTGATGGTAATTAAATACAGTATATATTAGAGTTCAAACATCGGACATGGACATAAAACAACCTTTAATTTTTTAGTCAATTTTCTCACCTATCGAAGTGCCTGCCATGAGAAAGGGAATTAATCACTGATACAGACGGTGGATACACAATATGCAAAAAAAAAAGAGTTCAAAACTTTGGACATCGAACTAGAAATAAACGAAATTAAGGGATTGCAAACTACACGCACATTTGAGTCAAACTGTAGTTCTGGGCATTTCGGAACCGAAGGTACTTGTAAATGCATGAATATTGCTCATAGATGACACCAAACTTGCAATGATCAGAAGTTTTAAAAAAAAATCGTATAAATTTGCATTACAAGTCGTTCGATTTTTCTTGCACTGATACCGACCCAAAATTAAAAGAGTCAATTTTATTGTATTAATATTATTTTAGTTTAATAAATACGAGTACATTTTATTTTTTGGGAGACAGAGATAATACCTCCTAATCACATCCATATTGATCAAAATGAAAACTAACACGCAACCCGTACACATCGGGAATATATCACACACAAATTAACGCTAGAAATTTCATTAAGAACAAACAGTTTTCTGTCACACAATTTTAATTGTGCGGATGCTCATTGACACAAAATTGCAAACTGAAATCATGAGATTCATCCCAACCTGTATTGTTATTATAAACTTGAATGCAAGATAACACTAAATCGGGTACTAACATACATTGTATGGTACCAGCGACATAAAAGAAATTAAAGAGGGGGAATAAACACATCGTAGTGTACCATAATCTCATTGAAAAATTCCTTGGATTGATTTGTTGGATGAATTGATCCAAATTCATCCAGTCTCCAAAACAGCCGATGATTAAAAAAAATAAACAAAAAAATTAATTCTATTTCCTCAAAGAACTAATCCTATTATAAACTCTAGATATCCCATCACTAAATTTCATCACCTTCTTCCCTTTCTTCACCACTTCTCCTTCAATTCCATTTAAATCATCATGATCGCATATTCTCTTCCTCCTCCAATTGCTCCACAAAAAGCTCACTCCAATACAAGATGTCCCTTCTCCTCCTCCTCTCCTCTTCTTCTTCTTTATCAACTCTTTCGGACTCGAATTCGACGACAAATCCGACAACCCGGGAGATCCGGCATCCGCGATCATCACCATTTCTTCTTCCTCTTCTTCCTTAAGCTTTCTGGATTTGCTGGCTGCGAGAGATGGAAGCATCATCATGTGCCTGTCAATCACGTGGCTTAAGCAAGCCAATTCATACGAATCATACAAAGGGCTCCCACAATCCCATACTTCATTACTACTTCTTTTTTCTTTTTCTTTCATGTTGATGAATATTGATGATGACGATCAGAGGGGGAAAAAAAAGTTTGTAAGGTTTGCTTTATTTTGGTGTGCTTGTTTTTTTGTTGCATTGAGTTTGGTTTGGTTTTTTGGGTTGGCTTTTTTGTCTGTATTTTGTGGCAAATATGTTTTTTTTTTTTATTTAATGGAGCCGACCATTTGATCAGTTCTTCACTGGAAAATGTCGTGGGGCAACTTTACTACGTAAGCTTTTTTTTTTTTTTCCTTTTCCTTCTATTTAATTAGTTTAGGTGTACCTCTCAAGTAATTCTATTGTTATTAGTACTTAGGTTAAATTACATAAGTTGTCCCTCGACTTAAGGTTATATTTTCTTGATCTCTAAATGGTAGAAAACATTTTAGAATAATGTTATCGAAAATGAATCTACTGAGCAAAACGCTGGAACGAAAGATTGGGGGCAATTTCAGAGTTTCATTCCATTGTTAAGTTTAATTGATGTTATGTAAGACATGAAAGTTTGTTCTGATTTTTGACAACGATTGGACATTATTATGAAGTTTAAGGGCCACATTAAGACCTTTTCAATGATGGAAATCAAAATGAAATAACAGACAAAATTTAGGAACAAATGTTTAATTTAATCTACTCTATTAATTAATTGATGATAGGGAAATCTCCAGATCTACAGTCCTTATGTCTTCTTCTGGGGCAAGAGCTTATTGTCTTTATGGAGTGGAAAGAGAGGTTGCCTCCCACCATTAAGTATAAAGAACTTATGGCGATATTATTGTGGTTCTTAAATGGTTGGATTTATTTGTTGGCGCACATGTCAGGTAAAAAAAGAAAAAAAATTTTAAATTCACTGATATCAGTTCTTATAAAGTGTAATTAATAATAATTTATTTCTTGCATTTAGAAATAATTGTCTAGTTTGAGACGGAGGAAATTAGTTTTTTGCTCTTTTTTCATACAGTTTTAAGACATTATTACAATTGTTGTAAGGTATGAAAATTAGTACAAAAAATAGATAACAATTTCAAGTTGGATAAGTCAAATGCGTTGCGAATCAATTCAATAAATCATTAGATTTCCTTTTGTGCTTTTAATTGTTTGGGTGGGGTTATGTATTCCAATGATAAAAGTTTGGAGAACACTAATCCCATCACTCTGTATTGAAAAGCTAAAGAAAATTCGGTCAGAAAAAAAAAAAAAAAAAAAGACAGCAAAAAGGAAGTGAGATTCAGTATAACAACAACAGCTTATTGCTGTAATTCTGTACATCCATTTTCAAGTATTATTGAGCCCTGATGAATGTACCAATGGAGATAACATGACAGCTTTTTTTTTTACTACAAACTATATACTACAGCAAACCTAGTAAGGGCAGCTTTTCTTCTTTATAGCTGGAAATATATTTGGAATGATCCCAACAACTAAATAGACCATAATACTAAGTACTAATATGCAGTGCTAAAGTAGCTCTTGACAACATTGTTACAAAGTATTTCCAACACTCTACTGTTACTGTGTGGAACACATCTTGGAGTTTTGAATTGACTCACAGCAGCCCCCATTTGGACATAGTGATCCAAGATCTTGTGAAAAGTTCCCTTCTTCAGAATCCTCAGCTCAAGGGCTCCAATTGTGTTCACTTTTCTCGAGCTCATGTAGCCGGCATCATTAAACGACTTGTCTAAACAGTTGCAGCATTCTTGCAGGACTTCGTCGTGGCTCGTTTCCCCGTTGATTTCCCAGTAAATCACGTAGTGGGCCAGATCATTGGACGTATCGACACTGCTGGTGAAATCAACCACTTCTAACTTCTCTCCAGCTAAGATTTTGCCTGCAGCTTCTACTGAGAGCTGCAAGTCTTTCTCGGTGTTCTTGTCGATATTTATGGATAGGAGCAGGTTCCTCCTACAAATAAATTGGAGTTCCGGGGTCGAATTGTAGAACCCTTTTACCTTGACAACATCTCCCAACCGGTAGCGATACAAACCTACAAAACAGAGGGTGAAAGTGAATATGTGGAAGAAAGAACTTCAACTCTGAGATAATAAATTAAAAAAAAAAGCCAGCCATTACACCAAGTAAAATTAGATACACATGAAGCTACGACTGAGGAAAAACAGACATAGCATTTAAATTCCAATCATTTGGATGACCGAGGCTTTGTTTTTTTTGGAAAGACACCAGCAATGGTTACACAAAAAATCCCATGCAAGATAAAAGACCTTTTAAGAGAAGGCAGAAAAGTAGCTTAACCAAAATGCTTCTGTAGCTTCAATAATGAATTGGGACTAAATTCCATGTCATGAATCATTAATCACTAAGACTGTTATATATGGCTCCCACAACCTTTATAAGTCTTCAGGTTGCTTTCACATTTTAGAAGAATTTTTGCTGAACTACTAAACAAGTTGAAATGTGATGCATTCTTAAAGCTTTTTTTTTCTTCATTTCATACATCTCCCACATCTCTTATTAGGTTCTCAACAATATTTTCACATGACATACTTTTAATCAGATTTTTGTCTGTTACAAGAAACATTGGCAAATAAAAAGTTGAATATTCCAGCTTCTGTTTTTAGAAAGAAAAAAAATGACACAAAAAGTATCTAGTGGACAAAACAATAAGCGAAAATATTCAGATGCAAGACAGCAAGAGAAGAAAGAATCTGTTCTGCTCTTTTCCTCAACCAAAAGAGTGAGCCACAGTGATGTTTTCAAGGACAAGTATGGAATCCAACAAAATAAATTACAGTTATGGTTAGCAGACAAGTGGAAAATACTATCTTGAAAGAAGGTTAAATATAGACAGGGCACATAATTGAAACAATGTCAATGGGATGAGAACAAAGTCAGGAGACCTTTTTATATTTTAATAGAACATGGTGCACATGCATAGTCTGAACTCAGCACATAAGCTAATGATACTTCCTACAATTTTGCCTCAAGTAGTGGGTACCAAATGCAACCTTCATCCACATTTTGATAAGAGTGAAAACACGACTAACGAGGTCAAATGAAAGCATGCTTTTACGCAAAATCTCAGGTTTTAACAAAGAGGTATCTGGTATGCAGCAAGAACCAGATGAGGCAAGAATTAGAATGCAAGTTTAGTACCTGCAAAGCTTGTAACAACAACTTCGTACTCTTCGCCAACCTTAACTTCAGTAAGGCCAACTGGCTTGGCTTCCTCCAGATAATCATGTTTTAGTGGCATAAATTCGAAGTACCCGATATCAGGGAGAACAGCGTATGTAACCAATTCTGGGGGTAACTTTGGGTTGACATTAGCACCAATCCACCCTTCAGAAGAACCGTAATCTGCGCTTAGTAGAGGTAACTCTCCAGCATAATGCCTCAGCTTTTTCAAATAAGGTTCCATAGAGCCAGTCATTATCCCATATATGTACCTGGTATTGGGAAATAGCTCCGGAATCAAACCATACCAATTGCTTAAACCCTGACACTTGCTGTAGATAACATCAGCCAGTTCCGGGTTGGGTTTAAGCAATCTAGACACGGCTGATCTAATAGACGGGAAGGAAATCCGGCTGCTCAAGACTCCCTCTCTGATATCAGCACACAACTCCTCCCATACTAATTCAAAAGTTCGAAAAGCATGAACAATGCCGTGTGCAAATGTGGAGGAGATTACTTGAACTTCTTCCCGGAAAATGAGTCCACACAAAAGGTGGCAGTATAAAGACTGGTGAAAGTCTGACCCAAATATAACTTCATCGGGGCTGCAACATGGCGTCTGCATAGCCTTCATGGTCTTCTTGAACAGCGGATTACGGTAAACATTAGTCGTTGCAGTTCCTGCAGCTAAACCTCCTTTTGTTTTGAACTGCTTACTACCATAGATGAACTGCAAACATTTCCCATTACCAATTGGGAATTCCCTGCAAGTGCACATTTTTACTTCAGTGATGAGCCTCTATATACCCCCAATAATTGAATAATTCAAATTTACAATTTCAGAAAAGAAACAAAATCTGCAGCAAACAATATCACATCACCTAGAAACTGCAAGAAAAAACAATAAAACCGACCAGCTTGAAGAAAAAAAACAAAAATCCTTCATAAGGCATTCAATAAAGTGATTTTCCAAGGCATAGAGAAAGATGAAGCATTGCTCTTTGAAGCTGGATAAATGTAAAGGAATTATAGTAACAATTCACTGCAATTGACTTAAACTTGATATCTCAATGAGATTGAAATTAAGAAAAATCTACCAGAAAGTTTCAAATCAATTCTACGGCAAAATAAATCATCAAAAGCAGAAAAATATCATCCACGATTTTGCCAGAAAGTGAGAACACAAAAAGATCAAGACTTGCCTGTTCCTAAAGGAATAGGATGTTTTGTAAATCTGCATCGTGGTTTCCATCAATTCATCATTGAAAGGCACAAACTTGGGCTTCCCTTTAGTAGTACCAGAGCTGTGATAAAAGACCAAAGTATAAGCACAGTTGACTACAACCATTTACTCCTTAAAGTCATTATACTGAACCCAGAAAACAGTACAAGAGTCAGGGATTATACCTCAAGGAAATAGTTGTAATTGGTTTTCCAGTGAGAATTGGGGAATCCTCATCATCACCATCAGCAATTCTCTGAATATAAGGGTCCAAATCATCATGAGTAACAATAGGAACACAGGCCTTGAAACTTTCTGGATCAGTCCTTCCATTAAGACCCCATTTCTTCAAATACTCTGTCCCACCATTTTCTTGAAGAATCTTCTTCAGTGTTTCCTTTTGAACCCTTTCAGCATCCTTGGTCCTCGCATCAAATTCAGCAATCACTTCACTTGTATCTAATGCAACTGGCACCTCTTCCTCTAGCATCACCATGTCGTTTCTTTTCCTCTTTCTTTCCCTTTCAGTAGCTACTGAATTACAAATTGAATCAATCATTAAAAGACAAAACAGACCATAGTATCCTCAAATTACACAAAAAAAAAAAAGGGCAGTGCTTTAAGACTTTTAAGTTTTATAACCAATCAGTCTGCCCAGAGAAACGACAAAACAGATAATACTGAAGTGAAAATGAGAAATCAAAGCAGACAGTATAAAAAGAGGAAGCACTTTCAGGGAAGCCAGAAGGGACACACAGAAGTTATGATTTTTGTAATTTATTTTCCTCCAAAATCTGTGGACGGAAAAGTGGTTCTTCTTTGAAAGTTCTGGTCAACCAAGTCAAGAACTAGGAAAGAAAAATGGCAAATCAAGAAAGAAGAAACCAAACCAAACCAGAAAAGAAAGAAAAAAGGAAGAAGATGAAGAAAGGGAACGGGAAAAGAAAAACAATCCAGAAAAGAAGAGCTGAAAGAGGGAAAGTTAAAGGGGGATTCTTGTCCCAAAAAGCTAGTGGGAAGAGTAAATAAACTTTACCCAATTCTCTCTCATAATTCATAAAGCATATACCAACAGTAGAAAGAACTATGTAGTAGCACGTAATGATTTTTAAGCCCAACAAAAAGAAGGGGAGACAAGAATCAAATTCATGAACCCTTCTGGATTTCTTTGATAAATTCAATGCATCAGAGAACCCAATTGGCTGACAAGATGACACCTAAATTATAAGTGAAATTCCATTGAAGTTCGAAATCTGGCTGTCCGTACCCAGAAACCAATACAGGTTTAAGATTTTCATGAAATCTAGAAACAAAGGAAATCACAGTAAGACCAGTAAAGAAAAGATGGGAAAGAAAGTAAAATAATTATACCAATTCCAAGAGCTGCTTCATTAGAAAGCTCCATACTTTGCAATACAATCATTTACTTCGAATTTATTGCGAAAGAAAGAAATTTGTGCTAAGATAAAACAAAGATAAAACAAGAGGACAATTTTTACATACAGAGCCAAGTTATGGCAGCTGTCCGAAATGTTTATATATAGTGACTGACTGTGATCCGGGCAGCCTCCCGGACCCAATTATTATTATGACTACTAGGGAAAAAGAAAGAAAAAAGGGAACAGAAAAATAAATAAAAAGTCAAACTTTGGAAAAATCCCCCAAGAAAGGAAAAAGAAAGAAAAAAAATTAAATAAACAAACAAAATTTGATGCAAGTTACTTCTTATTACTTCAACCAAGTATACTCACTTAACGTACCAGTTGACCGGGAAAGATGGTGGCGGTAATGGTTGCCGGTGTTGTGACGGTGGTTTTGGAATGAAGAAATGGAAAGAAGAATGAGACAAGGGAAAAAGGGGAATATGTAAGTGGAATATAATAATATATGATGGAAATGAAGTGACGATTGGGATGTCCAAAATTAGTGGGATAATCAGAATGATTTAGTTGGGTTTGTTTTTGATAGGCTGAATGTGGGAATTACGTTGCTTCCACTGCTTCACTCTGTGTGTGTGTGTGTGTGTGTGTGTGTTCAGTCTGTTACGCCTTACAAGAAGCTGTTTTATAGGGAGTGTGTGACTGTGTGTTTTTTGCTTTCTTTTTAAAGTGGGAAGCAAAGGCAAATGGGCTGGAAATAGAAGGAAAATTTTAGCTGATTGGGGAAATGGGTTGATGTTTTTCTGTATTAATGTGACCATATGATAAGATATGATAGTGTATATATAGACAGTAAGGTATGGTCCCCGGTGGGGGCTTTAGGCCAATCTGACTTTGCTTTTCTTAATCATTTTACTACTTCCTCCTCCGTCCTAGTTAGTACTCTTCTAATCAATGCATTCTCTCTTTTTAATCTAATTAGAGTTATTAAATTCAACCACTTCATTCCAATATCAAAATCTTGATTTATCATATGATTTACTACTCTTCAACTTCAATAATATATAAGAGGTCACTCTACCGTTATGGTATGTGCATTTCATAACAATTTTTTGATAAAGAAGACTATCTAAAACATCTTGAGATAGTTTCTCCGTTTAGACTCTAGTTTGTTTGTTTTATTTTCACTACATTTATGCGTCATTCCTATTGACAGAAACTCTGCCTCTTTTGTTCTAACCAAAAGTGTTATGCTTTGACCCCTTGAGTAATTTCTTTAACATTGCGCTTCCTAAAAATGCAAGTTACAACAAATGTGAGTTAGCTTGAAAAAGAAAGGCCAAATGGATTGAATAGGTGTGTGTATTATGTGGTACTTGCTAGCCAGGGCTTAGATCAATCTGACTTTGCCTTCAGCTGTCCCACTCATTGAGTTGTCTACAATTCAACGAGAGGATTAGTCACTGTAATCGATGGTAGACACTCTGCAAATATAAAAATAAAAAAAATAAAAAAATCTGACTTTGCTTTTCAATCGTTCTTACTTCCTCCTCCGTCCAAGTACTCCTTTAATTTATTTCAAATATAAAAGAAAAAAGAAAGAATTCCTCTAATCAATGCATTTTATTTTTTTTTGCTACTCAAAATAACTATAGTTATTAATAGTACTTACTTGTACAACTTAAATTCAACGACTTCATTCCAATATCAAAGTCCGATTCTCGTATCAATTTCAATAGTTAGAGATGCGACTTTTACTGGTGTGTGCATTTTACAACAACATTTACTGAAGACATTTGAGTTTATGAGATTGAGGATTAAAAAAAGTGCATTGAAAATATTAAAAACTATATTAAGATGGAAAATTATTAATAAAATATTATTAAAAAAAAGATTCAGTAAACTAACGAAACAAACGAAGCCTTAGACTGCGTCCCTTTTCAGAGTTAACAGATTGCTTTTTTCGTTTACTACTCTGAACTCTTTTTCTTGTTCTAACCAAATTCAGTAATTTCCTTAGTTATGCGTTTACTACAATTAAAGTTTACACAACAAAAATGTCGCTTAACTTGAAAAATAAAGGTTGTTGCAAGCCTTTATTGGGACGGCACTTTAGATCACATTATATTGTAGTACTCCCTCTGTCCCATAATTATTGCCCAGTTTTACTAAAATGAAAGATTTTATTTTTGGTCAAACTTAACTATATTTTACCTTAAACAACCGGATATACCCCTACATAAGTAATTGTTTAACCATTAAGATTTTATGGATAATGTTTTTTACTAAGGACAAATGTGTAACTTAATCCATAAAAAGTCAAATTCGACAATAATTTTGGGACAAAATTTTTTGGGCAAAGTGGACAATAATTATGGGACGGAGGGAGTACTATTTTTCCTTTTTTTGGAAAATTTATTATTAAGATCGTCACAAGTTTTAAAATTCTCAAAAAAGGTGCAGAATTTTTTAAATTTCTCTCAATGGTATACTGGTTTATACAATCGTGAGAACAATGTCATACTTTTTATTATTAAAATTTTATTCAACTTTTCACTATATTAATTTATACTGTAAAAGTGTAATAAAATAAAATAGTTATTGCATTATCACGAATCGGCATTAATTATATCTTAACTCTCAAACAATTTAGTATACAATATAACAATTTTTAGTTATAAACTATTACACTCAACACAAGAATAAATACAGTAGTAGTATAATAAGACGGTTTCCACCCTAAACCCTTTTTATCTCTTCGTTTCATCGTTCGGATGATTATAGCTTTCATTTTCACCCTTCCCCTTTCCCCATTGACCACTGCATAGTTGTCTAGCTATCTCTTTTTCCTTAAGCCAGTTTCTTTTTGCCAAATTATGGCTTTTGTTTAAATTATTTTCTTCCTTTTGGAGATTTAGGTCATTAAAAGAGTTTTAAATTTGGCATTCTTTTTTCTGGAGATTTTGCCAGAATATTGATATTTATGGAATTTGACTTCTTTCTTTTCGCTGACCCGGTGGTGAGAATAAAGACGTGTTCCATTTTTGTTGAATTTTTTGCCTTTCAACTATTTTATGAACACAATATTACTAGTAATGGGAAAAATGTGATATCTTTGTAAAATCCATTTTCTGAGTCTACTATCCTAGACTGATTCATGAGTTTTTGATTAACCGTATGACAGAAATTTATCATGATCCCTTGTTAATGAAAACTTTAAAACGCTTGATTGATTTCTTCTTTTTTTTTTTTTTTTTGGCACTGAATGGCAAAGGATAAATTACAATATGTTTCATTCAGTAGAGAATACGGTTGTCATTAATAAAATATTTAATCGATAAAGATAATAAAACGCCTTGATGAAAATATAAAAACCTTTACACTTTTAATAAGAATATATAAAATTTGCAACGCCTTTGATAAGAATGTTCATCATATAATGCTAATACTATCATGTTTTAATTATTTTTATTCGTGATACACCCTCTGTCCAAAAAAAAAGGGAAAAAAGTCCAACTTTATCAATGAAAGTTTAAAGTATAAAATGAGTTGTACTTTGTAGTCTTTGTTCGAGTAGACTAAATTAAAAAGTTTTTACCTTTTAAAAATGGACTATTGATTGAAGATAGAGGAGTATAAACTACTCCCTTCATTCTAAAATAAGTGTTGTTTTAGCAAAATAAAAAAATTCTAAAATAAGTATCGTTTTTGGATTCCAATGCATATTTTGTCAAAAATTTCCAAACATATCCTCAAAAGAAATAATATTATTGGTGAGCATTATTTTAATGGGGTTAATTGAGGATATTCTAGTAATTTAGCTAGCATATTTAAGTGTTTTTTAAACTGTGTACAAACTCTAGAATGACACTTATTTTGGAATGCAAGGAATAGTTTTTTTATGCCCAAATTCTAAGAGTTCATGAACTAACAATGATTAATCAGGAACTACAAGTGTATCAGATTTCTGGTGGCCGTAACACCGCCGTCCACCACCAGATTGTGAACCCTAATGTATCCGGATTCATCACCGGCCAAATGAAGCACCGCCTCGACAATATCTGAAGTCCACAGTGTCAGCCCATGCAAATGCGCTATTTCCCTCATCATCTCCTCCAGTTTCTCCACTTCCCCAGGAGGCGGCCCAATAATATCTGCTGAATCTTCTTCATCTCTCCAGGCATGAATAGCATCCGGGTGGGCACCCCAACGGGGGAAATGCAGTTGGCCATGATCCCGTGTTTCCCGAGCTTGCAGGCGGCGTTCTTCATGAGCCCCATGACGGCGTGTTTGGACGCCGTGTAAGGATGCGAGCCCATGCCCCCATCACGGCCGCCACACTGGCCGTCGATATGATGCTGCCAGCAGGGGCGGCTCAATGTTTTCTAGGGGTGTGTACAGTCCAGATGGTCCGGTTTTAAGTCAAAACCGTAAACCAAACCGTTAGATTGATTTGAAAAATTTTGAATCTGAAACCAAACTATTAAGGAGTTAAAAATCGGACTAAACTAATCTGTTATCAACGGTCCGAAAACTACGATTTTACGGTTTTAGTTTCACTTTGATTTTTTTTTAATTGCCAAAACTTGGACCCTTTGTTTTTTTCTTTTGAACAAAAATAGAGTTTTTTTTAGTTGTAACAAAAAGAATATAACTTTATACTACTAATTTTAATTTAACACTACACAAATCTCTAATTAAAATTAAACAACATCCAAAATGTTAACCAAAAAGAAGAAAATAAAAAATAAAACTTCAAATTCAATAAAAAAAAATCCTTAAAATAAAACAAAAAAAAGGAAACAAAAAACGGGGCAGTGAGATTCGATGAAGAAATGGCCATGAGTTAACCAATTAATCCAAATTAAACATTTGATTATTTATTCACATTTTAAAAGTATAATACTTAATATATATATATATAAACACGGTCCGGTCTGGTTTGAATGATGATTTTAGAATACCAAACCGTAAATCGAACCGTTCTTTCCGGTTTCTAAAATTTGAATCCTCCGATTTCAAAATAAAGTTGTAAAACCGAACCCAAAACCAAATCACGGTTTGAATTGACCGGTTAGACCCAATCCATGCAGACTCCTAATGTTTTCAGAGGCCTAAAACAAATACGGAATTGGGATCTTTTAAATATTGAAAAACTAAAAAAAGATATAACAAATTACTACAAAAGTATTAAAAAATTTGCTTGATATATTCGTTCAAAATTAAAAGTTTTAAATGTTACTATATGGTATCGCGAACTTAAACAGTGTTTTTATTAACTTTTTTTTAGGGTTTCCTGAAAAAACCAATGGTCTTTTTTTCACTTAAAATGCACGTGAATTGACCGAAGAACATTCGGTGTCCATCATAAAAGTTTGACTCGAGTCTCTCATATCACATGATGTAGTAGTAAATTTACAAAAAAATTGAATTTTTACATGGACACAATCATTCGGTCAATCCGCGTGCATTTCAAGTACAAAGAATTATTATTAATTTTTTCACGAAATCGAATAGAAAAGTAGTAGTGACGTCATCTAATAACATCTGAAATTATAGTTTTGAATGAAAATATTAAGCAATTTTTTGGTATTTTTAGAATAATTTATTGTATCATAACTTACATGACTTCCTATCTTTGAAACATATAACAATTTATTAACAGTGATCAATTAATTACTACAATGTATAACAATTGCATTTCTTCGCATTCCACGGCACATGATCGCAAAAAAATGTAAAAAAAAATTTGCAGGCGGCTGGATGGCAAGGTGGTGATCGGTGACGTGGATGACGTCGTAGGG